CACACCAGGCAGACAAGGTTCTTTGGGTCAATCCAGTCTGCTTTTGACACCAGTGTCCAGATCTTTTATGAAGACATTAAAGAGTACAGGTCTGAGAATGGAGTCCTGGTGGATGCCACTAGTCACTGAGTGCCATGTTGATGGAGTTCTGTTAACTACCACTCTCTGACTCTCAACTCAGAGCCAGATCCCCAGCCATCGGACTGTGGAGTAATCGAGGCTGAAGTTGCCCAATTTTTCCATGACATCATGGGACACCAGGTCAAAGTCTTTTAAAAGTCCAAATATATTACATCAACCTCTTCCCTTTTGTCCAGGTGATACATCACATGGTCATAGAAGGAAATGAGATTGGTCAAGCAAGACCTACCCACAAAACACCCATGCTTGCTATCCCTCAGAATGTTGCCTTCTGTCAAGAATGTGTTTTTTGATCATTTTTTCCAAAATCTTCCCAGGGATTGAGGTGAAACTGATTGGCCTGTAGTTTCCAGGGTTTTCTTTCCTGCCTTTCTTGAAGATGAGCACCACATTGGCCCTCTTCCAATTTTCAGGTGTGCCACAAATTGTCAAATATCCTCACTAGTGGTTGCGCTATGATGTCTGCCACTTCCTTTAGCACTTTTGGGTGCAACCTATCTGGTCCAGCTGATTTATGGGGATCCACCCTCTCAAGATGCTCCCTCACAAGATCCATGCCAATGGTAGGCATATATTCATCTTTACCCTGGTCATCCCACATCATGTTTGGCAGCATGGTCTTTTTTGTCTGGTGAAAAACTGGTGCACAGTAATCATTAAGTAGATTGGCTTTTTCTGGGTGTTGGTAGTCAGCTGCTCCAGATGGTTTAGCAGGGGTCCAATGTTGCCCTTGTTTTTCTTTCAACTCCCCACATATCTGAAGAAGGACTTTTACTGTTCTTGATTCGTGTAGCCAGATGGAGTTCAGTTGCAGCCTTTTTTCTAGTTTGCTCCCTGCAGGTGTGAATCAGTGCAGTATAGTCCTCCTTAGTGGTGTTTCCTGTCTTCCATCCATTATACACCTTTTTTTAGATTTGGGTGTTCTTGTCTTCGATAGATTTTTGGTGTGCACTCATTCTGGTTGTTGCTTGTTGTCTCCTACGTATTTTCCATCTGGGCATTTGGTGCCCTGATGGAGATATGTATTGTAAAGATATCTCTATACTGGAGATATTGTTGGCAGGTTTTGCATGTCTTGTCATGGAATGGTCTGGATCCATTCAGTGTGTTTTGGGCTGTAGGAAGTTGGCTTCTGGTGATGAGGCTAGCAAGGTGCAGTGATTGTTTGAATTTACAAACCACTTTTCACAGATGAGCCTATGAGCCTCCTAGGTACCTCATGGACCTATATAGACATTGGAATTATGACACGCTACAACCTGCCAGACATCTGACTTCCCAAGTACCTGTCCACTTTACCTGCTACATCCTCCTTCCCCCCTACCTCAGCCTGTCTCTCACCCCCTGCCTCCATTTCCATTTTCACTGACTGGCTTTCTTGCCTGCATTGTATGCCGGCCTCTGGCTTCTTTACTATCCCTTCCATCCAGGGAGAGCACACGCAAAAACTGCAGGTGCTTCCTCAGCCTGACAAAGGGTTTTCAACCCAAAAGCTTCCTAAGATATATTTCTCCAACTATTCAGTTTACTAAAAGATATTGGATTGACACCATAAACCTTGTCTACCATGTCCTTAGACAAACACAGCTACAACCTACACCCCTAGCACTTGTCCCCAGTCAGCTGACCAGAAGGAGACAGGGCCCTGGGAACATCTAAGTTCCAGAGCTGGGGTTGGCAGGGACAGCTCTCTGGCAGCTACTGGAGAAGAAGCTCCTACAGGAAAGGAAAGAAAGGCTCTGTGACAGTTTGGCTGCCTGAGATGCTAGTGCTACTGTGCTGCTTACCCGTTGTTATTTAAAGTGGTGGACCAAGCTGAGGCTGTAGGGGAGGAGGAGACCACATTGGGACACACTACTGTGTCATGTGACCAGTGAGGGTGCAGTGATAGGGGCATAGAGAGCCCAGCAACAATAGAAGGTAGGGTGAGACTGAGACCTCAATACAGGGATGATATTGATATACTATCTGCAAGGCATGGGGCATGGTAAGAGGTGGTTGGAGCCATTCATTTAGCCCATAAGGCTCAGGGTGACTGCTTGAGGTACCTACTTAGAGTGGGCCCCAGCAAGGGGTCCAAGAACCTACAGGGTTTAGTGGGGTCCATTAGGACCGTAACTGAGCAGAAACTTGAGGGCAGCCTCCCTATCTATGATCTTTTCCAACAAGATGTGGTGGCAGATGAGAAAAGAAGGTGCTCACAAGGAGGAGCTGGCATCATTACAGGGCCCTACGAGTATCACAGCCATCTCTAGGGACCCTACTCTGTGACAAGGTGCAGTTTCCCAGAAACCCCTGCACCTATCTCTTTGAAACGTGGTAGGCTTCACGGCCTCAGTGGGGGCCATAAGTTTTGCTTTCAGCACCTTGAGGTGCAGTTTCCCAGGAACCCCTGCATCTATCTCCTTGAGACTTGGCAGGCTCCATGCCCTTAGAACAGGTTACCATTTTTGCAATTTTCATCAGAATCAGGCAAGAAATGAAAAAGTTATACACGTTTTAGTCATTCCCCATTATAGCTTATGGCCGAAATACCGAAACAGCATCAAAACTTGGAAGAATTTTGACTGAAACGAAATGAAACAGCAATTCAAAATATCAAAACGAATCACTGTTCTACTGAAATGCTGAATCCAAAACTGAAATGAAACACAGGCATTTCTCACAGCCCTATTGTTTTATAGAGTGACAGGTTCCAAGGCTAGAAGGGACCACTTTCCTAACTGAATCTGACCACCTGCATAATATATGTCAGAGAATTTCAACAGCAGTTCCTACAGTGGAGGAAATTAATTTTCCTTATTATGTAAATGAGTATTATCCAGTCCAGTAACTGAATTATTTTAACCTTTCCCCAGAGCCCTTCTAAGTTACTTACCTATTAAGCCTGGGCTACTCCCATTTAGTAAGTATGCTTATATCCCCCTGGCAAATGTGTGGAAGGCTAAAACTACCTGAACTAGAGCATGTTTTAGAAAGAGATCCAGTTACAACTGCAATGCTCCAAATGGTGGTGGATTTACCATGTCTGGGTAGGTTGTTCCAGTAGTTAATCACTTTCACCATTAAGATGTTGCTTCTTATTTCCAAAATGAATGTTTCTGCCTTGATCTTCTTTCTTTTATGTCTCTGATGAAATAGAGAGACTCCTAACATTAATTTTCCCCCATCTCTGACTACTATGAGATAGAATAGATTTGGTTAAAGCATCTCAATGATAGTTATGTTTTCCATTCTGTCCATCTTCCATTTTTAGCAAAATGCAAACTGAATATCTTGTCCTTTAATACTGAGTTCTTTAAATACATCTGATGACATTAAGGATCTTAAAGACAAGATAACTGAAAGAGAATGAAAACAATACTTTCCATTTATATAGTATCTTTTGTTACAAGATTCCAAAGGCCTGTGCCAATATTACCCAAGTCTCTTATCACACCTTTGCTTATGCTCACTTAACAAATGAACAGAAAGAAAACAGCAAGGTTTTAGCTTGCTCAAGATCACTCAGCAAATTTGTATGCACTCAGGAAATAGACCCTTGATGACATGACTCGCAGTTCCTTCTCTTCCCATTACACTACAATATTTTTTTTCTAATAGGATAAGAGTAGGCAGGAGAAAGCTCTTCTCCTCAGCTCATCATATCTTTGCTGCTAAGTTAATTTAGCAGTTTTAAAAGGAGAGAAACACTGTGTTTTCATTCTCACAGAGAAATACACCAGGATATCAAGATGGCAGCAGGAGGACAGTATTGTTAGGCTGAATTTTAAAGGTCCTTTAGAAAGTGAGAGCATGAGGCCTTCCTGACTAAAGAGGTGTGAAAGAAAAAACAGTGTTTCCTCAACCCATCCCTAAATCACAAAACTAAAGTATATCTGCTGAGGCCTAGACATTGTATGAAGTATACCTGATGAAGTCTAGACATTATATGTTATGGAAGCTGGTAGTATTATGTCTGGGCTGCCACACTATCCAATGAAATATACCTCTGAGGGGCACCCTACAGGGATGAACTCTTAATGAAGTTCTGCCTACTATTTCTTTTAACTAGTTCCATCAGAGGAGCACATGGAGGCATGTGTTGCTATGTTGCAGTCATTGTATAATGTGGCTGTCAACTTATATATTGGCTAAATATCCTTCTTGTCCTCTGCATGATCATATCTTGGTGTGATTATTCTGGTACACCTTAAGCAGGCCCAGCACATATGCCAGGAGAGACACTTTAAATAACTATGTTTTGGTTCTTGAACTCATGTTTAGAAATCCAAATTTAAATGTACACACTGGGTCACCATTGATCCATACTGTGTGGATAGGAATGTCTGCTTTTAGGGATTACTGCAGTACCTAGAACAATAGATCAGCCAGTGCTTGTGCAAATGTTACTTCACTTCCAGCTGAATACCGCTGTCAGTCAAAGTAGAACCAGTCTTGTTTCCTTAACACATGCATTTCATTTATAGATTAGCCCTGAATGTGTAAATAGAATTTTCAGCTTGATTTTTGAGATACAATTACATTTAAGTGACAGCAAAAGAAACACATACTTTGGATATCCATTTCCCTTTCTCTAAAATCTTAGTTGCTGGATGCAGATTTGCATGGATATTTTATATAGTGAAAGGTAGCATACATGCACCAACTTTAGCAGAACTTATTAGGGGAAGGACAAACGGTACATAACCGTTTCTCTAACATAACTGTATCTCTACAAGTTCTGAATCAATTGTTCACTTTCTTAATGGGAGTAACTAGCATACAGTGGCTGGTAGAAGTCTTACATACAGTAAATACGGAAATATTTGAAGCATAGAAAATTATTGTGTTTTCCAGTGAAATGAACAAATGCTGAAGAATGTTAAACACAATACCAAAGATTTATAGCACATCACAATACAACTTGGTATCTCTAAAAAGTGCATTATGCTGGGGAAATTATAAATAAACAGGATACATTTGAAAAAAAACAATTCAAACTCCATATTTATACTACATAAAAAAATTATCTAGTAAGCAATCTATGTCTTTGACAAGTTGCATGTTCCCAGGTTTAAAAATGTATATTACAGAAGTCAAAATGAGTAGTTGGCTGATAATATAAACTGCGGTCTGTTTCTTTCTATAAACTGTCCATGTACTTCTATACCACTGAAGATTTCTATCTTCTCTCCAGTTTTGCTATACATAATGGAAAGAGGTAGTCTTAAAGATGTAAAAAATGCACAATAGCCTAGCAGTCCTAAGACTGGCCCCTGAGTTTTCAGGAGTCCTGGTCAAAGCCAGATCCCCTTTAAATACTTTGAACTCTTAAGCTTCTATTTGTTATATGAACACACACATTGCCCACTTTCACAGACACTTGTTTTACACATAATTTTCCAAAGCTTTACACCTTACTCATGATTATTTTTCCCTTGAAAGTAAAAGGTTTTGTTTCACTGAAGAGTCATGAACATGTCATTGTTTTTCCACACCAAATAAAATCAGCCACAAGATAAATTATGAAGGGATACGAAGGATCTTTTTGAAAGTCTTCTTGAAGTTCTCATTGCAGAGAGGATAGATGAGTGGGTTAAAGGTGGAGTTCACATAGCCAAGCCAGATAGTGAACATATGTAACTTAAACTTCTCACACCTACAAACAGCTATTACCATAAACACCACAAAGTAGGGAATCCAGCACAACATGAAGGCTGCCATTATAAAACCCAACTGCTTGGCTGCTTTTCTTTCTCTGTTCGTATGTAGTCCTTGTACGTGCTGCTCGGAATGGATGCGCAGTCTCTTCCAGGCCTTTTTCAGGTAACCAAGACTTACAAAATTTTTGTTGTTAGTCTTTTCCTCAGAACCAGAATGTGACTCCAAAGTTGGATCAGAGTCATTTTTACATGAGGCCACTTCTGCGAAAGTGTGTTCAGATGTGTCACTTAATTCCAAATCCTCTGGGCAAGGCACCTCTTCATTCTGTTTGTGCTTATCAACTGACATATACATCCTGCTCACTTTTTCTATGCCTGGCTGAGTCTGGGCAATAGTGAGGGGGAAGCAGCTAAGTTTCATGACTTTTCTGTCATTTCTTCTAGGGAGGGTCTTTGAGGCTTTGTCTGAGCTGCCTTGGTGAAGCTTT